GATAATCTGCCACATTTCGTTAACATACGCTTACTAATTTAAAAGCTATAGCATGAAAACTATAACAAGCACAAAATGGTTACGAGGTCAGGCCTTGGGACTGAGCCCGTGCTGAAAGAGTTAAAGCAGTTAGAAGGCTGAATGTTGTACTCTACCATACTATTTAAATAAGTAAGCAAACTTGTTGAAAACTTTTTCGAGTTGAAAAACATGTGGCTACCTTTTCCAAATCTGGAAAACAGTCAAGATGTTCCAATTTTAGTAACTCATTGTTGTCCAGAATTAATTTCTGTATGCCAATTCCATCCCGCTTTTCCAATTTTTTCAGATCCTTTTTTGATAAGTCCAAGGTATGTTTATCTAATACAAAAAAAAATCACATTAAATAAATAAATTTTGTTATATGGTTTGAGTTTATGTTTTTATAATACAAGAACACTTTTTTTAACTCATGTGTAGCAGACATAAATGGTCCAGAATCATTACTTGTTTTAATACACAGATAAATGCTCATTTAGGATCCACTTCAAAAATTCAAAAACAAATGCAATCTAATAAATAAAATGAAAAAATAAGCAAGCATACACTGAACCATTCCTGGTACACACAGATATATATATATATATAGAGAGAGAGAGAGAGAGAGATAGCTAATATACTGTTGTATTATGCCTAGAACTTGGCAAGTGGTGAAATTTGATAATCAATTATTCTCACATGAAACTTGAGAGTTGGAATAACCAAAAACACTAATTTTTATTAGATGATTAGTTTTATCAGTTGTGACACTAATCGATAAAGCTGTAAAGCCTTGAGTTAATCAAAAGTAATAATGATAAATCACAATGGCAATATTTCAATTACCTGGATAGATGGAATAACCAAAAACCAGTAATAAGTGGAAACATTAATTTCAATTAGTTTTCTCTTTAATCAGTTTTTACATGACACTAATTAATATAACTGAACATGACATGTAATTGATTATATCAATAAATCACACAGTTCTATTACTTAAATTCAATGTTTACCCTTTTACTGTCTTATATCAGATTACAAACATATTTAAAGCTTGAGAATGACTGCCAATGTTTAACAGTCATCAAAGAAAATATTTAACAACAAAACTGGGATGAAAAGGAATAAATACAACATCAGCAAAAACTTCAGAAAATCAGTAATTGAACTACTATAAAAAATACTACTACTATACTATATATAGAGTATAATGAGCAAAATTATTTTTATATTGTAAAACTCTTACGTGTTAATGAACTTTATTGTTCACAATTTTTACAAGATAATGAAGGCAATCACTGAAAATTTCCAGGAGGGAATTTCTCATTATCATTGTTATTAATTTGGTTTAACCCTCTCACTATGGGTCTTTCTATGGTCAGGGGTCAAAGGGCACGTCATCAAGTTTATAGACTTACATTCAAAATTTTATTGATCTACTATTTTATGAATCTATGCCAGTAAGTTTGGTATCACACTGTAGATTATAATTCAAGTTTCAGTATTATACATTAGTTAAGTTCTTAATTTAAATCTAAATATTAAAACAAAATTCCTAAACTTCATGAATCTAAGTTTCAAATGGATAGCAAGTGCCTATTGTAGAAACCTACAAATGTAGAGGTCGACGTGATGAAAGGCAGAAGACTTTCGAAAAGTCGTCCACTACATTTGTAGGTTTCTACAACAGGCAGTTACTGTCCATTTGAAACTTTGATTTATTATGAATACTCTGCCTAAACAACCTATCAAAGATTCCTAAACTTCAATTTTTGTGCGTCATGTGGTATGTTAAATACAGCTTTAGTTCAAATCATATGTTCGTGATGTCTAAATACAATGTTTATAGTTTCTTATGAATTAGAAACCCAAATGACTGATATTGACAAGCTAGAATATAAAATAAGAACCTCCTATCTTTTCTATTTGCTGAGATATCACTACTTATAGTGAATCAAACACAATGGCCCCACCCACCACTTTCCATTTTTGGATATACGTAAACCTACTTCTGTCTATGACATGTGAACATCTAATCAAAAGATCAAAATGCCCCCTGGTGGTTTTCTCAGTCTCTTGAAAATGGGAAGTTATTCTGGAATAATAAGAAATTATAATTTATATATATTTCCTAATTTTTTATGTTGGTTATGAGGTCAGTCAAATTTACCAAACCCATACAGAGATACAATAATTAGAATAACAGATAAAATATAAGGTTTTTCTAAAAAAAAAGTTTCATAATTAACTGGAGGTTATAAAGATTTCGCATGTGAAATTTGATAATTTTCTGATGCATAAAAGTATTTTTAATATTAAAATCAAAATTACTTTGCATGTTGGATAGTCAACATTCAAAAAGATAAAAATGCACAAGCAAATCATTACTTAAAAAATCTTAATACTTAATTTAAAAATCTGGTATTTTGATTACTAAAGCTTTCTAATGTTTACTAATAATCTGCAAAATTTTGTGAAGATACGCTTCCTGAATTAAAAGTTATAGTTTGAAAACTATAACAAGCATAAAATGGTTACGAGCCCATAGTGAGTTAAAAGCATGATATTAATAATTGCTCTACTAACACACTGTGCTACATTCAATAGGGTATACAAAGGGAACCTACATCAACGGTTGTTTTGATCAGCACTCATGACCAAGTAACCTCCAAAACTAATGGGTTGCATCTGTGACTAATATTTTGTGGATGCAGTTGTAAAATAGTTCAGATGCAAGGTTGTTTGGGAAAGACCTCAGTTGAGAAGTATGGACATAGCCAAATTCATGCCTCCAACTGCATTCAATATCACTGTGCTTAATGTATGTACCGTGTGTTAACATAATACGCTTAATGTTAACAACAAATGGAAAATGCATGATCTTATGGTTCATTCATTATACTTCAGATGGTTGACATTTTGTTTCATGACCAATGGGCTAGTGGTTTCAGATTTAGTGTACAGTATCTACTGATGTAAATATTAGATTATTGCAGTATTAAAGGATATTGAAGTTTACATATGTAATTTTAAAATAGTGTGTGTAATTTTAATGTAATATTTGTCTAGTAGTTGTTGTTAAATCTAATTATACATCTTGTTTACAAAAAGCTATGTATGTACACAATTTAAAGTTTTTATAAGATAACAATTATATTACTAAGGATCATCCTAACTAGCCCTCATCTTAACCCTTTCCAATAAATCATAATAATTTTTAGATAAAGAGTACAAATCTGTACACAATATTCCAAGAAGAGAAAGACTGTGAGGATTCATATTCTGGGGATGAAACCTGATGTCCTAGTTTTGAGTACGTGTCCAAATAATAGGTTGATTGAAAAAAATAACGAATGAATGGCTACATCAAATCAGACATATATTCATTTCCTCAGAATGCCTCCAGCATATAGGTTAGGTATAAAACCTTTGGAAAAATATGAGTCAACTTCTGACCAAAAATGATCCCCATTCAACATGCAAGTTAAAAAAAAAAGTAATATGCAGTTAATTTTGAAAATGGTTTTATATTAATTTTATTAATACAAATTTTATTGATTCAAATTGGAAAAACGTAAATAGAAGAATAAAATGGCTTTCTTACACTCTGAAGAAAAAGTTTTTATACTAACTAAGTTTTAAAAATTACAGTAATGATTATTGAATGCTTCAAATAAATACATATATCTATACATACACACACGCATCTAATAGAAATAATTAATCCCTAAATAAACATTTCTTTTGATAAATAGTGTTTTCATATTATAAATGCATTTGATGCAGAAATGTGAAGTCTTCCATTTTCAAAAACTTCTCCTTATTGGCACCTGAAGGAAGAATTGATTTATCTCTATTTTGGGAGGTTAGCTGGACCTGTGGATTATATTGCCCAGAAGGTGAACTTTACATATTACAAACCTCCAGTGGCCCTATATATCCCAAGATATCAGCAGACCATACAAGATAAGTGAGAATAGAGCAATATGCCAAGCCATATAATATGGGAGAAATGAAATACAATAATATGCAGGCTTTGGGATGAATTCCAGACCTGCATCCCAAAGATAGCACTTCACCTGGTTGTTAGGGAGATAAGAGAAGCCATGAAATGACAAACTTAATGGAAGGTAACAAGAAAAATCAACAAAAAGGGTCTTTTATTGATAGATTGTTTCATCAACAGAAAATATTATTTCCTAGAGTGGACGTACTGCACTAGAAGGGTATGAAGGGATGTAGTTGAATGCTAAATGTGCCACAGACTAGTGCAGTTCAAGTTACTACATGTTGGATTGAGAGCTCATTCATAATCTTGGGCCATGCACACATTTTCTGCAGTGCAGAGAACTAGTTGTTTGTTCTGTGGAGAGGCTAGTAGTTTAGCATGAAAAAAAACTTCTTTAGCAGTTCCATACTCTACCCCTTGGTGTTGTCATGGCTTGTTACATTTTCATCAAATATATAAAAGAATTTTCTTTATAGGAAGATTTTTTTTTTATTTTTCCATGCCTTTTTTTTTCGAGAACCATAGCATTTTTGCTGCCTTTATTTTGACTATTATTTTCATTATAAACCTGGCAGTTTTAGACACATGCAACCCATGCAATTGCATAGGGCCCCAAGGCAGCAAGAGGATGATACCCCAACTACAATGGTTCAGTTATATTGCACATTTGAACAATCTGGCAACAGGTTCAATTTAACATTCAGATTCCTACAAGCATCTATCTGAGCAGTCTTGTCTGTCAACAATACAACTCTTGAACTTTTCCTAATCCCAAAGAATATAATTAATCGTGTCTTGTTTCTTAGCAATTTCTTCTTTTTCATTGGTTTTTTTACTAAAACAAATGCAAATTCAATTTTTAACATTCATAATGCCCCTGTGAGTCTCTTTTTGTGATTACTGTTGTAAAATGCAATACATTCAATTATAAATTATATAGTAGTTGTTTCCTTGTTTGAAAGTAATAACAAAAGTTATCATTTTCCTAAACTGAAAATGTATTTCCAAACATACTTACCTCCATTGACACTAATGGCTATTTCTTGATCTTCATCTTTGCCATCTAACATTGTGTTTGCTTGGTCCAGTCTTTATATACCCCACTCGACTGCCCTCGCCAATATCTAATTTGTAAAACTTTACACCAGCCCTCACATGCCCTCTATGCAGGTACTGTATATAAGCACTGTATGCAGACAATAAAATCACTTTTTGAGACTTACCACATTCCGGTCACTAACACTAGCTCTTAGTGGGGAGGAAGGGAGGGAGAATGTCAGCGGAGGTAAGTATGTTTAGAAATACATTTTCAGTTTAAAAAAATGATAACTTCCAAAACATACATACCTCTATTGACACTAATAGCTACAATCCCACATTAAGAAGGCGAACGGGCCTGTGAGGACAGATAACATAGAAAGCATCTGCAGTGAACAAATATATACCACAAGAAGTGGTATCAAAGTGGGGAACACTGCACTACATCAAAAACAGGTATGCTCTTCACTCAGAACTACAGAAAATTGAAAAAGGTGGAATATAATACAAGTATGATGGTCCAGCCCCGACCAAACAGCTGAAGTTCCACAACTCAGGTTGGATTTAAGGTGTCATGGTATCCATATATATATCTTTGTGATAGGATCCCTATCAGTAAACACACAATGATGCATTTCAAACCACCAGATTTATGTAAGAAAGCAACACCAAAGTGAAGAATCTTTCTGATCAACCTGAAGAAAAGTCCAAAATGCAACATCCCAGGTCTGGATTGACAGGATCATATGCCATACTCCACCAAAGTCCAGAACTCATCCAGTCTGGATTTATAAACAGTTGTATTTACTTCCCCACCAAGTGGGCATGGAGAATTCTGCTTACCCAGGAGAGGATGTGGAACACTGTCCCACCAAGGACCAAAGATGAGAATGAGATGCATTCGGAATTACAAGGAGATAGTGGACTCCCTGCATGAACAACATAAGACTTGATAGGGTTCATAAGAGGGTCCATGCACACACATCCCTTCCCCATCAGATAGCTTAGCATCAAATCTGGACTGGTTTAACAAGTATACTCCCATATAGGTTGGTCCTGCTCCTACCAACATCTGGGAGAAAACTTCCAGGGATCCAGGTAGGAGGGTCCCCAACTTCGCCCTCTTCTCCAAGAGTGGAGAAAATTCAACACTCCAAAGGTAAATCCTCTATCCACCACCCTAGCGACTGAGAAATGGGTGTGTTAAGGACTCCCAAGCTCCACTTGTAGAAGTAAGAGGAGAACATAAGTGTTGGGGAGTCCTGAAGAACAGGTCTCCAGAGACAGTGCAACTGGTGAACCATGTTCCCTAATTTTTAAAAGCAAACTGATCTCGACTGATTCAGCTCCAAGATCAGCAGAGACTGGCAAAATCCCCTTTAGCTTTACTCTTGATAGTCCATGAGTAGCGGTTCATTAGAAATATTGTAATATATCACCATCCAGAATTGCGTCCAGATGGTCTTATGGAACACCTCATCTCAACAGAGCCCATTGTAACCAAGAACCGATATAAAAGTTACTAGTGCAGAATTTAAATACAAACATACTTGACTGGGCAACACTCACCACTGAGTGGGATCCAGAAGAAATCAATAGGGACCCTAGAAGAGAAAAGAACAATAACTGGAAGTCAGATAACACATTACTCACCACCCTGTTAAAATCTAGTAGAGGTAGTCAACATAGCCACAGGAAGAAGACGAAGTCCCTTCGAAGAGGAAACTGCCAGATCATGAAAGTAATGAGATATGAGGAGATATGTCAGGAGAAGTCCACATACTAGCCCACAAAATACCTCCCGAGAATAAGGACAGAAATGATTAAGAGAACCAATAGAATTAGGAGTGGAAGGAGGGAGCCTTGAGACACGAAGGGATGAACCTGCAGAAGTACCAGTGGAAACAGTATAGAGTCGAACAGCCAAAGACAATAGATACTGCAAACGTGCTGTATCAACTCTGGCTTGTAAAGATTCTGGAATTCCAGCAAATAAATAAGGCCAAAGAAAAGGCTTTTCCTGTAAATCTCAACGGGCAGAAGAAGGTAAGTGAATACCCTCCAAAAATGCACTTGGACTCTACAAGTCCCAGCAACAGACCAACCACAATACCAAAGCAAGTCCTCAAGAGGATAAACATGTCATAGTAGTGACCAGTAAAGGGCCCAGTTTGTCATCAAATTGTTAAGATGATTGGTGATGTTCTTCAGAAAAAAGTTGAAGAGAAGTATCTCTTCAATAGTAAGGTTCATACAAATTCACGAAAATTGCAACCTGTTAAGAGAGATAACAGGTTCATACCTGGCACCCCATAAATCCAACCTTTGAGTGTCCAAATATATATCATCCTGACAATGATACACCAGGGCATGTTTTTCAGATAAATGGAGGGGGGGGGGGTATAGCAACACCCTCATGTAATTGTGTTGCAAACCTCCCTACATGCACAGCAATATCAGGAGGAGGGAAACTGAGTAATCCCCTTAAGAATGATCAGACAACAAAGCAGGGCTAGACTCAAAAGCAACTTGCCAGTTGCATCTCCAAAATTTCACAAATACGTGCAGAAGGTGGTTGATCAGATGAGTCCTCAGGAGAGATAGCTCTAGTTAGGGAAGGAGCAGGAAACAGGAAGTCTAAATTCTCCCCAGAATATCTCATTTCAGAATGAAAATTCAAATCAGCACCTCCCAGAGAGATACCCCAGAGCCGCATGAAGGACTCGATCTCGCCTCGAATAAGGTCACGGACAGCTTCCACAGAGTGGCTTAACTTCTGGATTAAGCAATAAACTTGTGGAATTATTTGCTTGATGATGTAGTATGTGGAGGTAGTCCAAAGTATTTGATGCACACACACACACCCAT